GCGCCATGTGGGTCACCTCCCGGGCGGGGCTGGAACTCAAGCTGAAGTGGCTTTAGCTTCTTAGTGCTGTGCTTTAACCTGCTGTGCCTCCAGGGAGGGCCCGTTGTTTTTTTTTTTTTGCTTGTTTTTAATCTGTCTTCTTCTACAATACTGTAAAGTTCTTAGGGGTAGAGTTATTCATAGTCATATCCTTAGCAGTAGAACAGAGTTTGGTATGTATGTAGAGATCCTCATTGAGTTTTGGTAGTTGACTTTTTATGCTTGTAAGGAGAACCATCATTTTACAAGGTTAGGTAAAATGTAGCAACACAAAACTGCGTTCAGAAATAATTGAGTAAGAAACTCCTGTGTTCTAGGAGGAGGGGCATTCCGGCTTGAGAGTGGTTGCCAAAATGTTAAGTAATTTTGATGTTGATATATTCTTAGAAACCCTGTTGATTGTAATGACTGGTTCACCAAATACAGTATTTGCTATATTTTCAGTCGGGACCTTTCAACATTGGCACATTTCCAGACAAAGTAGAATAGCATGCTTTATTTATTGCTGAAATATTTCTTGTAAGGACTTTTGTTTGAGTACAGTGAGGATTATCTGATAAAGTGATTGATTAGAAGTGCTAGAACACAAAGCTAACACCTGGCATAGATGGGTATTTGTTTTTAGGAATTTGTTTAAATAAATCTACAATCTGTCTATTGTTATTATTAATAGATCTATACCTTAATCGAAAATATATTACTCCTTTGTCTTTTAAAATTGAGCATTCTCTTAGGAAATATTTAATAAGTATCGCCCATGTACCAGACATTGTAATAAGTGCAGGAGATGGAGTTGTGAAGAAGATAAAGGCATAATATTTTTTTTAAATGTTAGAACTTACTGAAGTTTATTTAAGAGGCTTAGCCTGATCTCCAGAGTATTAGGAGGTGGGTAGAAGCAACACATTTGGGTGGTCCCCCACCCTGTTTTTCTTCTGTCATCTTTTTTCTTGTACCAGCTTGCACCCTGTTTAGTGTTTATGGCTATTTGAATGTTTGTTTTCATCACTGTGATAGGCTCTGGACACTAAAAGAGTAGCAGATAAAAATGTTGTTTTTGAAAATAATAGTAATACTAGCAGACTGGAAAATGGAATGATTTTAATGCAGAATTGTATACTGCTTGAACAGTGTGTGTATAGGCCATGGGAGTGGAGAGAAGAGGCTGGTTAAAAGGCCTCAAGCTGACACTGAAGGGCAAGTAGGACTTAACTAGGTGGCTAGTTAGGTTAAGGGTATGATTAATAGTTCTGTAAACACAATAAGGTATTCCAGACAAATGGAATAGCACAAACTTTAGGGGTTCCAGGGGATTTGGTGTGATTGTGGGACAGATGAACACAGGGAGAAATGAATACTGAGAATGGGGTGATGACTCAATTGAGTGGGCCTTGAGCACCGTCTGAAAATTACCAGGGACTGAAACAGTACTGGGATCAGGTGTACCTTAGTGAATGCTCTATTAGGGAGCATGTGGAGAGTAGTTGGAAGGAATTAGAAGTTAGGTGATTACACATCATTTCTGAGTTTGCACAGCAGAATGACTGTTTTATAAAAGGCCACTCTGATGCTATGTGGGAAGTAGGTCATAAAGAAGGGTTGTGGGAATGGTTGGAAGGACGAGACTGTTAGGAGGCATCTGGGCATTCAGCTGCTAACTAGTAATAAGGAGCTTCCCTTATCTCTGCAGTTTCAGTAAATTTTTGGTCTTGCCTCTTCATAAAATATTTTGCTGTTTTATGCCAAAATGTTGGGAAGAATTGTTTTTGCCAAGTTATTAGAAATTTTGCTTCTGTCTCGTGTAATGCTCTTACTCAAAGCTCCCTTCCAGGTAAACAATGTGCACAGAAACAACCCACGTGATCTCTTAGTTCTTTAGGTTTTTTTGAGGGTGTCACCATTTTCAGTTTGGGTTTTCCCTTATTGTGGTAATCCTCTTTTATTGTATAAGTCTGTCAAAACCACAGATAGTTGGAATAGCATCAGCAACTTCAGACATATAGAAGTTTATTTCAATAACTTATGGGTTTGAGTTGCTTTACATTGCTACTGAATTCACTATCGTATATATGATGATTTGAGGCAAATCATTGTTTTTCAAGGAAGACATTTTTAATAACTTCTTAAGCAGAGGAATATAAAAAATGTTTCTGAAAAAAAATAGTAAAACATAGCCCACATTAAAAAAAAAAAAAGGAGCAATTATGGCCTTCCCTGGTGGCGCAATGGGTTGGAGCGCAGCACTATGAAGCTAGCTGTGGCTGCTTCAGTATGGGTTCAATTCCTGGCCAGGGAGGTGACTCACATGGCGTAGCAGACCTCTCCTTTCTCTTCCTCTGCTCCCCTCAGCAGTGCACTTTGTCAATCTGCCTGTTCTGCTTCCCACTCTGTCTCTGGTGGATCCTCTCACCACCCCTGTACCTCTGGCCTGTACCCCAGATCTGTATGCATAGATGAGATAAATGTTAAAAAAAAAAGGAAGCAATTAATTTCATAGAGCTAAGATCAGGGCAGTTTCACTTTAGTTTTAGGACCTTATTAAACACTCTCAAGCACTTAAAATACAGGAACACAATGTATATCCTCTTTGTATTTCATGTGAAGATAGAGCTCCGATTATGTATTTTTTATATTTCTCACAAATACAGCCATATTATAACCATTGCCTATTATATTGTGGTTGCCTATGAACTTGATTCTGTCCATGGACTCTCTCTGCCCTTCCCATCAGTCCTGATGCCACTTGAATAAGCTCTTGGGGATTTTTGTATGATTAATTGTGATAATATATGTATATTTTTTAATAGATGATGCATCAGATGCAGACTTATGGCTCCTGAATAGCTGTACTGTAAAAAATCCAGCTGAAGATCACTTTAGAAACTCCATTAAGTAAGTAGAAGGTGATTTTTCCTATTTTGTTTCGTAAGTGAAAAAAGAATGAATTTCAGGCATATTAAATGCTATTGAATATTTTAATAAATATTGGAAACAAGGTTGAGTTAAACTTTAAGATTATACTGTTTTGAATTTATATGATGAAGAATGAAACTTCTTTAAGAATGAATCTTTAATGTGGACTTTTCTAAAAAGTAATTTGTATTTGTGAACTTAGCCATCAGTGATTTGAATAGTTAAATATTAACTCTTCACTATTCTTAGGGAATCCAGTCTGTACTTAATGAGATTATCTGAGGCCTTTCTTACCTCATTTCTCTTCTTTGCCCATTTGCTGTGTTCTAGATGTGAATAATGCCTGTTTCTCTGGGGAATGACTTTGATGGGGGAGAAAGGCCTTTGAAAGTTCTTGTTTCTTGCTTTGCTCCTTTTGTGTAGATTTGACATATAAAGCCTAAATGGTACCCTTTTCTACATGTGCTCTTTCTGAATTTTATCCCACTACCCTCCTTATGAAATTCATTCTATGAATGATTTCTTTATTTGCCTATATGTTCGATTTCTCCAAACCTAGTGGTGCCTTTTCATTGGTATTTAAACATGTTCATTTTAATCAGTTCATTTTACCTCTTTTGGCAATTGCCCTACTTTCTTCTCATCTTGCCAGCCAGATTTAGGATTCTTTACTTTCCAGTTTCACTCTCAAAGGCTTTCTGACTCTCAAACTTACTCTTTCCTTTAACCCTCACTTGCTTCCTGAAATGCAGTAATAATGAGCTTGAACACCTTAATGTCACACCCAACATAAGCCATCTGACACTGTCAAGACCTTAAAGCTCCCATGTGCCCCTTCTTTGACTCATACCCTGGGATGGCAATCTTTATCCTGATCTTTGTGTTACTCCCTTTTATTTGGAAAGTTTAATCTCAAGCATCTCTCTAAACAATGTGTAGCTTACTTTTGCCCTGTTTTAAACTTTATTTATTAGACTTAAGTTTATGTTCTATGATTTGCTCTTCCTTCCTCAGCATTATGCTTTTAATTTTATCCATGGTGATGGATGTGGAAAAATTATGGCCATTCATAGTGTTTCATTGAATGAATTTGCCATAGCTTATCCATGTTATTATTGATGAGAGATTAGAGTTTTCCCCATGTTTTGTTTTCATGAACATTTCTACTGTAAGTATTTAGAATATGTTTTTTGGTGCACATGTTCAAGAATTATTTCAGGATATGTACCTAGGAGTTCAATGATTGGATCACAGGTGTGTGCATATTAAAATTGTAGTAGATGCCAAACTTTGCTCCCAAAACGGTGTACAGCACTAAACTCCCACCAGTAATGGAGACACATGGTTGTTCTCTGTATTTCCAGTATAGTCAAACTTAAAATTGTTGCCAATCTATTGGTGGAGATGGCATTTCAAAGTGGTTTTTATTTGCATTTTCATGATTACTAATAATGTTGAACATTGAAAAATATAGACATGTCAGCCAATTGGCTTTTCCATCTTTGTGGAATACTGTTGAAGTTCTTCTTCCTGTTGAATTTTTAAAAATTACTTGTGGGAGTATGAGAAGTGTTCTATATGTTACTCCTTTATACTTCACATATTGTAGATATCATCTGTGGCATATCCTTTCACTTTCTTTTTTTTTT